AAGCCCCAGAAGACCACGGACCATATAAATTACCGAGGGCTGGGGCAGAAGAAAAATTCAAAGGAGGATTTGTCCCGGCCATTTTCAAAAGACAGCTGTAAATCAGACGATATGCCAGGCAGCAGAGCGACGTACGCAACCCTCCAGAGGAGGGCTAGAGTGAGATGGTACTTTGACATGAGCAATTAATGTCACTATTTGATCAAATACCCCTGCCACTGATGGCCAAGTAAAATCGCCAATGAGTTTGCAGCTGGAGACAGAGACACACAACGGGCATGCCAGTGTCATTCAGGTGATGGACGGTGCACCCTACAAGTCAGTTGCGGTTACCTGCGTGGGAGGAACATGCGCATATGTATTACTGAATACTGGAGCCACGACTAGCTTTATTCGAAGCGAGTTAGCTAGGATTCTTAAAGACAAGCCAGGGATGAGGCCGTACGACGGCCATTTACAGACAGCAGTCAGGCAAGGAATCAATTTTGACGGCCGAATCACAGCGAACCTAACGATAGGAGAAATTGACAATATTTTTGAAGCACTAGTAGTTCCTAGGTCGAAAAACCAGATGATACCAGTTGCGACTGGACTGACAGATGGATCTACGGTTCAGGTGCTGTATGCGACACTTAAACTGGTTCTAAAACAAATGCCCACTATACCACTTTATCCAGCTGAACAGAGAGAGCTGAACAGTACCAGGGCAAGGAACAGAGTGCAGAGACTTTGATGAATTTTGGCTCGAACGATGTAGTACCCAAATTTTGGCCATCCAACTACGAGTATCAAAGTGCTACGATGGTTGAAGAGAAAGGCGAAGAATTGGAAACGCGTTGGTCATCAGACGAAAATGACGCCAGCAAAAAGTACCCCGAAGTAGTCTCGCTAGAGTAAGCTATGAGAAAAATAGGATGGCCCTTTCCGGAGAACGTAGCCGCCTCCAGCGAGGTAGAGGAAGACAAAGGTGAGGCTGACCGCAGGGAATGAAAATCAGCCGAGTTTCCCTTATTGCAGAATCAAGACAAAGCTATCGCACATATGTACTACTGTGCGGAGTTATCAGACAAAAAGGGGGACATGTCGTCAATACGATCAAACATGATCCGGAAAGAGCAGGCAATCCAGCATGGACCCAAAGTGCTAGCGTGCCAAGATGGAAAGAGATGAGAATTAAAGGCGGAATACTCTAGAAGAAGTGGTTACAGTTAGCTGCTCCAGGCCAACCCATCTTTCCATCTGGCACGCTTAAGAGGAAAGAAGTTTTAAGACTCGATTCGATAGAGGCTGGTGGATGACGACTGGCTGCCGAAACGGTGGTGGTTAGAACGAGACAAAAACACTGGATGGCGACCATGAAGACTGACGTTGACAAAATGGTTCCGTGGTGCCTTAGCCATGCACGAAAGAGGATAGAAGGCAAGCGGAAGAGAGCAGCGGACCACGCTCCATTTGATATGGGAATTAGGTTCAACGCGATTGCGATGGATACTTTTGGACCCATGACAACGACAACGCGCGCTCCATTTAAGCATACACTGGTGATAACGGATTTATTCGCGTTGTGTGCGATTGCGGTTCCTCTTCTGTCAACAGAACCAGGTGAAATTGCGACAGAGATCGTGGAGCAGTGGTTGCTGAGTTTCGGCGACCTCAGTGTCTTCTGCACAGATGAAGGAGGAAGTTTGGTGGCAAATCGAGCCACGAGATGAGTCAATTTTAGGTTATCAACAAAAATTTTACTGACACGTATCAGCGAAACTTTACAGCCCTCGAACTTTCTGCACAACACGATAATCAACCGGATAACGGGGTATACAACGCTAAGTTTGGCGAATGGGCAGGAAAACCATTATTCTATTGATTTTTTTCACGCAAAACCTCCTGAAAAATGACTAGCGAATCATACGGTGCGAGAGAAGTACTGAGTACCAATCAGCGTCAACAAAAAAATCAGTATTCGAAGAAAATTCACAGGGAGGGAACCTTATGCGACTGGCGACAAAATGTAGGTTTGAGCGGATCAAATTGAAGAAATCTTTCGATCCATTGGAAGAACCATATGCTGTGATGGCCAGGATCTCCGAAGTGATTTACAAGTTGACACAGCAATCGACTCCCAGAAAATTGAAGTTTTTGAAATGCATCAACTGTTGCTATGTGCAGAGAGCAGGGGAAAACCAGAAGAAGCTGCCGCTAGAAGCGACGAACAGCACATTTGTCGCCCAATTTTTTTGATGATCTGGAGATGTATGTTAAAGACGAGGCGTTGATGCTTCACCTTGATGCTCAGAGTTCGGATGAACTTCTTGAACTTTAAAAAGACTGGCTTATGGGTCTACGATTACGTTTTAGGAATTATAACGCGGAAACTAGGAAGGGTTGTTGGGATATTCAGTTTTAGCGTGATGATTATATCATGAACTGGTAAATAGGACCAAAGGACAAGAGTAATGGTAAATTTGTTTACAAAAACAGTAAAAGAAAACAGTGGACTCCCGGCAACAAAAAGGTCAAATCTGAAAATTTTGATGTCATCTTCCTCTAGAATCGGAATAACGAGCCTGCCTTGTGTAGGTCCACCGAGTGAGAGCCCATTGTAACCCAAACCCCTCCTACGAGCCGTTCTGGTGTTAATAGCGCTCCCAAAGGAAAAGTGATAATGGATCTTAAAAACGATCTAAATTGGAAGGTATTAATGGGACATGGATGAAACTTGATAGGTTGGTTTTCCTTAAAAGATTGAGCCCGAAAATAAAAAATAGACCCGGGGTGATTTTTAAAAGGTTTGTGGGCGTTTCACTACATTTTCATAGAAAACCACGTGATTAACACCAGAAAGTGATGTATGTCCCATCCAAACTCATCGAAAGGAAGAATCGATCACCGAATTATAATTTGGTGGGTACTTGTCCATTAGGAACAGAAGTAGGAGTGTAAAGGTAATAGCTTTTACATGGTAACCTTGCCGTAGTGAATTGATTAAAGTAGACTTGGCAAACTTTGGAATCAGCTAGGCTCGGCGAATGAGGTACTCTTAGAAATTGAGTCAAACTAAAGTAAAGTACTCCCAGAGGAAATTGGCCCTAAAAGAAGCGTAATGTGGAAGTCTGTCTTTGATATAGGATGAACGGATGGACTGTCTACTTCCCGGAGGTGGCTTTTTAGCACAGGTTTGTTTCCCCTTATAAACGAATTACGTTCCCATATTAGCTAGAAGGTCGCGATTGGAATAGCGTATAGCTTTGATTCTTAGATGCTTGGAGTGAGCTAGCAACCCGTGGAAAATGTCTACTCCTATCCCCGGGAGGTCGAAACGTTAACGGGATAGCTAAACAAAAACATTGGGAGATTGGCTAATAAAATATAACTTGCTTTGAGGTGAAATTGGTATTGTTCTTTGCATAACTTTTTATAGAGAAACCTATAAAGAACTTGGAACTTAGTGTTCATGTCTTCAGTGGCGAAATCAGTTTAAATTTTAGAAAAAGGGTACCAAAGTAAATATCAAGATACGATCGTAACTCTAACTATAACTAAAACTCAAATAGAAAAACATTGAGGAGATTAATCATGAGCCCACTCGTAGGAAGCACAAAATGGGCTATTAAATATAGTAGTTGGTTCTCGGTTAGGTAAAGAACAAGTTTTGCAGGGACGAGGGTTTTTAAAGTAGGTAAACAGTTGTATCGAATCAGATTTGAGAACAGTGATTCTCGAAGTTAGCGAGATCAGTTAAAGTAACTCAAAAGATTAGTGATCTGTAGAGGCAGGTCAAACTGAGTAGTTGAGCGGAATTACGATGGGTAATTGGTTAATTGTGACTCTAGAGAGAGAGAATCGCTTAGTTGATTTAGTTAAACTTTATTTAGGCAATGGTGCTGATGAATCGCGGACTCTTTCCTTCGATTAATTTATTAGATTTTCTTTTGAGCATTCAGAGACTTCTGTACTTGGACCTAGTTTACAGGAGTTGATTAGTTCTCTGTTCTTTTATGTGTCCTGATTGACAAGCAGGACACATAAAACCCAAAAAACTGATTGTCTTTTTTCTCTTTTTATGATTGTCATCATTAAATGCTACAGATTCTGGTAGTTCAACTAGGGTCGAACCCCTAAAGAAGAAGGCTTCCATTAAAATGGAAAATAAATGAAAATATGCCAAGCCATACAATTTCCATTTTAACGAAATTGCTGAATAAATATTGTTTCCATCAGAAAACTATTTTTAAGCTGCGATACCATAGTTTTGATAAAACCAATGAAAGTAGCTTAAATGATTTTTCTTTAAAAAAACTATAGCTATAAACACTATATGTGTTAGACTGGACTTTTATTTTTTTTCTATGAAATGCTATAATTGATTGAATTCGATGAAGTTCAACCCAGGATCTGTTTCAAATAAGAAACGATGAGCAATTGTACCCACGGCTGGATCTGGGATTTTCTCGAGGGACGGGGGCGGATTTCCAAAAAAACCAAAAATGTTGTCTACTTTTTTAGGTCGACCAAATTGATTTTCCGAGCTCTCCCAAAACACTTGGAAGTTTTGGCCAAACTTTGTGAGACGCAGGCAAAATGTAAAAAAAAACAGGCCAAAAAAGGCTTTTTAGGCACTTTTTGGAAAGTTTTAACCATAAAATTGCGTTTTTTCGGCGCGCGCTCCCCCCTCAAAATTATTACATTTTTGTGCCGAAGGCCCCTTTAGAAAAACTTTAGGGTCAGTCAGTTTAAAAATGAATCCTCCAAAGAGTACAAAGGGGGAGGGAACCTTTGGGTCCTCAGCGGGTCGAATCCTTGAAGAAAAAGCATCCGCCCCACATTCCCTCCCCCCGCCCCCTCCCCTAAATCCGCCTCTGGTTGTACCATTGTAATCTTAGTCTTAGAAACATTGCAGAACAATTGTCATTTTGCTACGAGGCACCACGTCCATTCATTTATGAAAAATTGTTTGGTTTGCGATTTTTATCAAGTTTAATATATAAAATTATGCCATTATACTCAAATTTAGGCAAAAAGTGACAATTTAACGAAGATGCAATGGTTGAGTTTAATTCCTCAAACAGTGGGATCTTCAGGGAAAATACTTTGAACTTCTACGGGGTAATTCTTCCCATATATCCATTTATGCTGACGGCCACACCTCACTTCCATCGCTGCCTCACCAGAGTAGGGGTCATCATAGTTGGCTGACACACTCTGGAGGAAGGTCGATTGGGGGTCACATCCCAAACTGAGAAGAGTGTCAGCCACATCTGCGAAGTCCTCGTCCGACATTAGATTGTCTTGGAACTGTTTCATGGTCATTCCCACGTTAGAAGGCGACATTACGTGCCAGTCTCCCTCCAAAGTTGTCCCTTCTGAAATTTTTCATTCTTTAGATGTATGAGGGATAAACTGAAAGTTGACAGAGAGAAGAGAAAAGCAGAGTTTTTTTGGCCCTTTTAAGCGTTAGAGGAAAAAGCGATCAACTGATACCACTTTCATAGAACGGGTATCACTGTTTTTTATTCACAAACCTCATCACTGTTGAGTTGAAATCCTTGGAACGCAATTAAAGAAAAAAGGACAAGCTATAAAAGAAATTTATTTGAATTGTTACTTCCTAGGAGTTGTTCAATACGAAATTGAAGTTTAAATAGCATCCTGAAGGCATACGAAAGTTTCTCACCTGAAGTTAAAACCAGCTCACACAGCACGACCACCACAACTGTAGCTAAACATCGTAGTTTGAACCAATGAAACTAATATCAAATCAAATCTGCCGCCCGACCTCTTTTTTAGTCCAAAAAACTACTATTAGTTTTAGTTCAAACACTCATCACCGGCATATGAGGTAAGATTGTCCCCCATACATAATGAATTTATTGATACCAAAGGGCAGATTTTGCCGAAATTTGTTCTCAGCCGTCCGAACTTCTCAGCTGTTCTTGTCGGCTACTGCTATATTTACAAGAATAGGGTGAAAAATAGGCGATGGCTTTCTGCTTTTGCAACCAACCAACACTCAATAAGAAGTAAGAGAGATCCCAAAAAGAAATAGCGAAAAGAACAAATAATTTTACCTACCGAGAAATTCAGCGGAATATTTCATTCTCGAAAGTTTCCAGAAATAGTTTTTGACAGAGAACTAATATTTCCGGATCTCTTTAACTTTTCCCCCTATTGCAAAAGGCAGGGATTCGCTACCGTACAAAATACACATATGCTTAAGCGTTGATTTAAGTGATTATAAGAGTGGCTACTCTATAATAGATACCATAGGGGACAAACAGTTAGAGAGATCCATATTTCATACCAAACAGTTACACAATAATTAATAAAATGAATTTGGTTTGATCAGGAAAGCATAAATTGTCGATCCTCTATCCGTATATGGCTAGTCCATCCAAAATGCATTGACAGGTGGTGTTGAACATTTGCTTCCAAAAAATCAGCTTAATTATTTTATAATCCAGTTCGAGGAAAATGAAGACCAGATTGTCAAAATAATTAGAGAGTGATTTAATTTCCAAACGTTTCAACAAGACTGCTCGTATCAGGGCGAAGCCTTGAATGTTCCGAGTGACTTTTTTTAAATTTGAACTTTTGTGAAAACATCCCCCCCACTCGCCAAATAAACTACAAAAAGATAGTATTCGCTCCTAGTAACAAATCAGTTATGGCAAATAAGCTTTCTTCAAACAGTTTCTAAGACCGATTAAATCTCCGCTTACGCTTTAATAGCGCGAGTTATATCGTTCGTTAATTGTATCAAGTTGGCCGAAAGGCGATCTTTAAATCATTTTTCATTCAATAATTGTACGAAAAATGATCACCGGTGAAATATCTTTTCAACTTTAAGCTCAGGACAACAATACCTTGATTGAATGATATTTAAAAAATCTGTCAATAATTCGTTTTGGCCCGGACCGCGCTCCAATCAAGTTTCTTGGTACATCACAATTTATATGCTTGCATATGACAATCAATAAATGTTCAAACTGAACCACTACTTAGGCGAGAGGCGATCCTGTTGAATGCAACTTAATTATTTTATAAAATGGATAACAAAACTGCTCGTATACACGGCAAAACCCAGAATATTTCGACTGCCCTGAATTCACATCGAATAGTTTTTGTGAAAAAAAATATCAATCGTGAAAATAATTTGAGTTGTACTAAATTACAACGATTGATTAGCTAACCTCAATTCAATTTGGAATGATTTTGCTCAGCAGGGTAACTCGCACGCATAAGAAATTCCCGTTGCGCTTTCATCATTATGAATTAAAACTTCAAAGCGCGCATAAGTTAGCTCAGAGCTTGGCCAAATTGGCAGTTTTCAAACTCCCATAGTTTTGCAAAAATCGATTGGAGGTTCAAAATTTTCTTACATTTGATTTCAGGGGTTCGCTATCTTCAGGGGAATTATAAACATGGCGAAAAATTATTATTTAGATCGCCAAAAGTTGACTGAAAAAAAACCACTCATAGCATAAATATTCCGTTTACTTTGAAAATCGGAACAATAATCTGCCCGCACTGAGTTTTTTGGATAATAAACGCTTATAATAAGTTTTCATTGGCCAGTCTCCACATAACTAAAAAAAATTGATTAAAATTGATTAAAAATATAATATAATTTTTTTTGGCAAAACAATGTAATCCATTTTACTTGATTAAAATAGTTCATAATAAATTATCAGTTTTTTTTAATAAAATTTGTCTGAAACACTAGCAATTGTTTTTAATTTGATGCACGCTTTATTAGAAAAGTACAAAAATGAGATTTAAATTGGCTAAAAAAACTGTTTTATCGAACTTTTTCCTTCAAATTTTCTTCTTGTCCTTTAACCCACATTTAGCTCCTTTTCGAGTCAACCCTACCCCTCCACCCCGTGTTAATGTATTATGAACGTTTTAATGGATTTTTGCATACTGAAGTCACTCAATTAAAATTTCCTAAAATTCAATTTTCATGCTTTATTGAGTCAGGAACATCGACTATATGTTCCTGACTTATTAAAGCATGAAAAGAAATTTTCAAGCAAAAAAAAATTTTGCTTGAATTTTTTTGCCAATATCATCAAAGAAAATCAACTATTTTCCATGAAACTCTGGTGCGGGAGCATTTGAATAGATTTCTGCAGTATAATTTTGTTTAGTTTATTATCTTTCCGACTTTCGGAGAAAATGACGGTAATTTTGTAATAAGGTTGGTTTTTTACGATAAACTTCAATTTTTTAACTAATCTTTTTCACTGGCCTTCATTTTATTCGGCGACTATTTTTGTAGTTACGCACAACGTGGGAAAAAATTTAGCTCAATTTCCAATATTGATTTAATGTTTGACGCACATCTATAACATTTATTGCTTTGTACTTGATATTGCAAGTAGGAAAAAATTTCAAAACAATCTAGAAAATCTTTTTTATCAAGATATGATGAAGATAAAAATTTTTCATCTTGAACATTTTTGAAAATTTTTTTGAGTAATTTTCTCTAAAACAAATAAACAATTTTTTTAAACATACATTTTTGTTGTTCTGATCAACTAGAAGTGGAAACTGTCAGTTTTGTCAACGTTTTGCCAGAGATATTGAGCAAGTTTGAGTCCTCAGTTAGGTCAGCTATTTTTCTCTTGATTGGAGCTGAACAGTGAAAACTCGAAACATTTCCAGATTGAGAAAAACAGTCAGAACAATGTTGTTTTTCGGACCAATTAAAAGTGAATTTGCAGTGTATTTTGCTATAAAATTTACTTTCATCTATGTTGATTTTCCACTAAAATTTATATAAAGTGTTTGCCGCTCCATCTTCGCAAAAAACACCTGAAGATTCTCAGTACACTTCAAGTTTGATTAAAATCTAGATTTTGGTTAATTTTTTCTGCAAAAACACCAGTGCAGTGTTGAAAACGTTAGTCAGTCAATATGAAAATTCCGATGATCAGCAACTTGTTGCCCCGCTCGTACGAGAGAGCGATCCTTTAAACTTCCTCCGGTGTTTTGGTTGATCTGCACAATTCCTTTTATGCTTCGCGGTTATTCATATTTACGATTAATACGTCCCTGAAGATACGATCTTCCAACGTTCCGAAATTGCATCGGACCGAAAGTCCGCTTAGAACAGAGTGGAACTGCTCCAGATTTTTATTGATGAATTGTTTCTGAGAGAGAAGTTGGAATGTCTCATATGTCTCGTTCCTTCTCTTCTTGAATTCCGTCTCCAGTATGTCTAACATCCTTGGGTAACGAAACGTTGAGAGATCCAGATGAGGTCGTCTCTTGTGCAACTCGTCCTGCCCCTTTTCCTCCAGACACAATTACAAGTTTGAAATTAATATTTGTTCTGATTCCAATCGATTCTTTCCGTCAACTTCCTCGGGCAAAGCGGTGACTTGGGCTGCAGTAAGGGTCGCTGCGTAGTAGTAGTTTTCGGGTTGATTGTGTGCTTTGCCACCATTCCCCATTGAAATCTCTTTATCCAGAACTCCCACATCATTGGCGGTTCAGTCCATTTCGATGGCCAGAATCCTGTAATACCAAGTGAATTTTCCCCCACTTGAGACTGCTGGCTGCGCCATGTTGAAAACGTTAGTCAGTCGATATGTAAGTTCCGACGATAAGCAACTGATCTCACAAAGTTAACAATAAGAGGGATCGTATAGGGCAACCAAGGGTGACAGACAATACCAAGGGCAACACCTGCTAATAGATTAATTAGCACCACGTTTGACAAATGATTGACAGTTAGAAATGAGACTCTCACGAACTGTTTTAGCACTATACAACAGCAGGGAGGTTTTTAGCTACTTATGCAAAAAATTGGTTGTTCTGCTTGGATAACGAACTTTTAATTGACAATTCAAGGTCAGAAAAATCAAATGTTTCTAATTTTTGGTTGTAATTGAGTTGTAATTTGTATGAGTTTTTGTCCAAATTGATTTGACAGGCACTCATTTTTATGCACGATGTCATTTGATTGTTTGTGTTGATAACACATCAGTTTGATTTATTTGTCCTAATATTCATTTAATACCCATCTATATCAACTTCAGATTAACTAAATAAGAAAGAAAGGAATTGCTTATCTTTGAGTAAAAAGTGGGCGTTTTTAGTCCAGCAATTGACCACTTGAAAACACGGTCATTTTAATTTGGCAACTTGCAAACTTTCAAAATCAAATAGGATTCAAGGATTCAAACAAAAAAAGAGTCTTTTTATAATATTCAAGGAGATAAAATTATGAAATAATCGAAAAAACCTCAGAAAAATTATTCCAGATTCCCTTTTTAACCTCCATGCAAAAACTATAGACGTTTTAGCATCATAATACTGACACGGAGGGCATTTTTAAAATTGAAACTAAAAGAAAAGATATGGAAAGGTCAAAAATACAAAAAAATTTATCTACATTTATTTGTAAAAAGGATAGCCGATTTCTGTGCAAGTAGCACAGAATGTTCCGACCACGTTCTCAGACTTTTTTTGTACGTCTTGTGACGATAGAGCTATACAAACGCGTAGAAATTTAGTAATTTAGGCGTAATCGACTATGAATGTCTTCTAAATATTTTTCCTTTATTTCTTGCACTCAACATTTCAAATAATTTCAAACGATTTTTTTTTGCCAGAGAAGCGCTATATAAATTGTCCCAAACTTTCTTAAGTTATCCCAAACCAACTTATCTCGATACTAAGATTTTTTTGAAAATTTTTTAATGTCGTTCGAATCACGACTGAAAGGGCTTTAATATGATATATCGTTCAACGCAGTCCGATGATTATGTGTGATACTTGAGTTTTCCTTGAAAACCAAAAAAAAAGAAAAAACTAAAACACACCTGTATACAAAGTTACTCCCCATTTTCGAGGCTCGGAACAACAGGCACCCCTTAATACAATTCATTTTTTTACAGTGTTGTTTTAAGGTGATTTCAGTTTTCACTCCGAAAATGAAATGCAAATCATTCTGCCGTAAAAATTAATAGCAGTACCAAACAAGCGTTTGCATGTTTTCCCAAAATGCTGCAAAATTCCGCTGTCGCACTTTTCTAATGTGCAAAAATAAACAAAGGTATAAAAATCGATCTCCTTTTCACAATTGCTCTCTTTTTCACAATCAGAACATACAACCCTCGAATAATTTGTTCTGATTCCGACTTTTAACTAACCGACTAGGACTGATTATACTCGTACCATCTGAAAAAAACTTGATACCCAATCGTGAAATCGAAACAAAAAATCCTAGCTGTGATCATCGCAAGCGAAGTTAAAGATACATTGAAATCCCTTTTTGGTTCTTCTTTTGTGCTTGA